ACTTATTTCTATTTTTTTCCGCCTACGTCTGAGAAAATTACAGTGAATGTAACGTTTAGGCAAACTTAATGAGTGATGCTCATCAATTATTTATACTTCACCATGAGCTCGGAGAGTCAGGGGCTTATTTTTGAAGACCTTACTCCCATTTTTGGATTTACCCCTCGATGCTCCCAACCTCTTCACGCCGCCACTGAACATGCCGTCAGGGAAAGATTTTAAACTTCAAAAAGAGTTGAAAAAGAAATCTAAATACCGTTGAGAAAAAGTTCATCTTTCGCTTCTTTCAATCAGTGAAAACTCATTTTTTGGGGATTTTTGTAGTTTGATTCTAACGCCATGTAGCAATATGCGAAAGAGCTGAAAGTAGCGTAGAATTATAGTGAATTATCCGAGCTATCGTCTCTATTATTTGAAGTTAAAAATCCATCACATCTTTGATCTTTGTCAAGAAGGTTTTTCAGAGATCCTTCTCAAAAAACCTTCAGATAAACATCAACATCTTCCGATTTTCTCTTTTTTTGTAGGCTTTTTTTTATACGCCGTGAAATTTTCTATCGAATGATATATAAAGTGGAATGGTTAACGATAAGTTGGCTGAATAATATAAGCGATGACCTATGCATTTGTGGAGGTCGGGATTAGTATTTCTAGTGTTAGGACGCCCAGACTCAGTTTGATCTCAGTATTATATATATCATTTTGTAGCCCGTGAAATTGTCTATCGAGTGATATACAATAGTTGAGGTTTACTTTGAACAAATGAGGAAAATACTCTAAATAAAGTTCATCTAAGGGGAGAAAAGTTTGGATGTGAAATTTTTTCCAAGGTGATGAAAATGTTTTTTTTGAGGTGCTAGTTTTAATCACGGAAAAAAACTACATCAGACAAGCTCACTGATTTTACCTCTTATCGATCCCGTTCTTATCCTGTCTATTTTGTTTTGCTAACCTTGTATTATGTCAGTTTCTATTATCATATCTTAACCTAGGTTAGCATAAAAATCTACTCTGATATACATATGTTTCGAGAAAAATGAGCACTAAGATGTAAGTTATTTCATTAGCGAATCGAACAATAGCCATTCTACTATCCCAATCCCAATTTTTTTATCGTTGATCTATTTTATACATTTTACAATTAATATCAGGTATCAACACAATATCTATAAAGATTTTTATTAAAATTCTAATGAAGGCCTATTTATTTTTTTATGTTCGATTCGGCTGTTGTTCTACTTTTTAATAATGTTTGCAGTTTTTATTTTTGTTGTTGCTTCCATTATGACAATCTAAACTTCTTTAAAATTTACAGAAGATCGTAATGGTTTAAAAATATATTTATACAGGACTACATATTGATAATATGTACAACGTTAATATTTTACTATTTGTATGACACACTATACAATTTGATTATTAAAATAGCGTTAAAAAAAAGTAGCAAAAAATTTTGTATAAAAAAAAAATATATTTATATAAAAATTAAATAGACTTCGCATAATACTCGGTTATTTTTATCACTTAATATTGTGGAATGAGATATGTATCGGTTAAGCTCGTAAATAATTATCTAATGTTCTGTTGTTTTTGTTGTTCGATTGACACTAGCACCACCAAATAAGTTTTGTAAACGTTCATTTAACTGACGTTCTTTATCTAATAACGTATTTGAAAATAATTTATACGCATTAAATTCCTAGAAATAATCCACATAAGCATTTTAGAATATCTGTAGTTTTGTATGAAAAATTATCGATAATACCTGGTATAAATTTGATAATTTCTCATTTGCATTCGACAACTTTTCTTCTAATTGTTTAACACGAACATTGACGTTCACTTTTTCTTCTTCAACTCTACGATGAAAAAAACATTAAAAAATGTATTTTTTTTCCCCTTTGAAATAGTTTACAAAAAAAACCAAGAATTACTTGAAGCGTTCATCGGATTTTTTCAAATTAACTTCTAATTCATGGATTCGTTCAGTTTGTCTATCATAACCATTTGTAACATCCTGAAATATTAGAGTTTGTATTTGAGACTGCCACTTCTAACTACCATGACAAAAATCAAAAAAGAATTTACTTATTTTCCTCATTTATTAACTATCGAATTTACCACTGAGTGAACGCGAATAATTCTTGAATAATTTAAAAATGAAAAAAACAATGAAAATTTGCGATTTTTATCATCCAAGAGATGAAACCGTTTATGATCCAGAATTGTTTATCTTAATAAAACTTAGTGTCTACGAGATTTTGAGACTTTTATGTAGAAAAAAATTGACACAAGATTTAGATTGATCCAGTAGATACGTGATATGAAATCTTAATGTTATCTTTGGTCAGAATTACAAGATCCTCAGGAAATCTACTATCCTACTTGAACTACTAGAACAAGGCTTTGCTTGACTTTTATTTTGAAAAGCACACGTAAGATCATAAAAAATAACCAAAAAATGTTGTCGTTTTTAGGATATTCGAAATAATTTTTATCGAGCATCTAGAAGTCTACGGAAGAAAAAATTCTTGAAATGCGCGGTTAACGCAAAATAGAGCTTCATATCTTCACTCTCAAATGATGAAAATGACATGTCTTCATCGCTTTTCATTCTTGAGTTATTCAAAAAGTATACGCCCGTATTCAGTTTTGAAATAGATTATAGTTAAAACTACATAATTAGCCGGATGACTGTCATGTTATTATGCATACTCAATTTTAAAGTCATGAACAATCCACTAAGGATTGATAATGCGTTTTATTCAAAATAAATAGTGGAAGTAGAAATTTAAAATTGCCGAAAAGCGTATTCAATCTAAACAATGTTTTACATTAGAATCTGAACTATATCCATCGTACGCCTTGTCTTAGACTTTTCATAACTAGAAAATCCCTAGCGTAATAATATTTCATCTAAGTTTAAAAGTTAATAAATTACAAAATTAATCATAAATGATCTTAAAGAATAATAATTTGTATTAAATAAGAAAAGCAAATTTATAGCAGCACTGAGCTCAGGCAAAGTATAGCAATAATAATAGAACCTTAACAAAGCTCTCTATTCATACCAGCAAAATTTGCTAAAAATTCTAAAAAACAAAGATTATTACAGCTGTAATAATAAATCTCTCACTCTTACTATACAACAATTTCTTACTTTTATTTTCTGTTCTAGTGTTTTGTTTTGGTTTAATAATTGTTGATTTGTTTTTGTAACATGTTCATAGTCTAAATTATTTTGTTTTTGAATTGTTTTCAATTGATCATTTTTTATTTTTAATTCTGATAGAAGATCTAGAGAGAACATCAGAGTATAACATAATACACATACTTATGACATAGTCGTTGCTCCGTTTAGTTTCCTGTAAATTTTTCTAGTCATCAATAACTTTCTTTTTCGACTATAGTCCACATTTTTTTTTTCTTCTATTAGCTCGATTATTTGGATTCGATTATCTAAACAACTTCTTCTCAAAGAAATTGAATTTTATTTATTTATACGTTTTGACAAACGTAAAACATTCTCAGTAAAATGTAAGGTGAATGTTTCAGTTTTGTTTTCTCTATATCATGACGAACTTCCATTCCTTGAGACTGAAAATGTCACCATTTTTAGTTCTAGTGAGATCCGAGATTTGATGAAAAAATGAGCTAAAAATATGATGTAATTTTTAAAGAAAACAGAAAGTTTTTGAAAAATATTCGAGAATTTTTTATTTTGACGAGAATAAAGTTGAAATTATTATAGACCAGTAGAAAGAATCATAGATTTATGTAGTTTTAAAATCTTTAGATATTAGCTGTACTTTGCGTCAGATAGTCCAATAAGTACGGTATTGATCCTACTATAGATCTCGGACTATTGTCCTAACAATGCAAAACTTTCCTTTGGTCAAATTATTTTTTTCTCAAACCTTCAGTAGTTATGTTATTCACTCACACATAGAAAATAATTTAAAAGTATTGATCCATACCCGCTAATTTTTCTTCTAATTTTAATCTTTCATTATTATTTTCATCTATTTTCTTCATATAATATGTTTGATTGTTATTTATCTCTTTCTCATGTAACATTTTCAAACGTTCGATATCTTCCACATTTTGTCTAAACAAATTAGACAATTAAAAAAAAAAACTGTTAAAAATATTTATTTGAAAAAAAAAAATGAAAATTTGAACTTACTGTAATTTTTGATTCAAATGATTAGATTTTTTTTGTTCATTACTCAATTCCAGTTGTAGTTGTTCTTGTTGATATTTTTCATTTGATTTTAATTGATCAATTATTTGTTTATATTCTTGTGATTTTTGTTCAACATAAAAATGTTGAATTTTTAATTGTTCAATGGTTTGTTTTAACTGTTTATTCTGATCTTCTAGACTTTGTTCAGATGTAAGTTGTTGTTCTAATATATCTAATTTTGATTGTAATTCATTATTTACTTTATCTAATGTCATATTTGATATGATATATTCATCATTTCGCATTTTTAACATCATTATTAATCGTGATTGATCCATTATACGACATTTTAGCATGCCTAATTCAGTTTTTTCTTCTGAAGATATATTACGTAGTTTCATAACTGATTTATCAATACAATTATTATCACTATTATCATCGTCCATAATCTAAATAAAATGAGACATTAAGAAGAATGTTAGATAGAAAATTAGAATATAATATACATTCGATCGAGCTGATTTGACAATGTCATGTAAATCTTTTGGATTTCTAGCGGATGATGATGAACCACTCATTATTAAACATATTCAAATAACTATCTATTTAGTGTTATATAATTGAGAATTTAATCTAAAATGATAAGACATACCTTATGACTGACTACTACATTCTTGATAGACAATTCTCAAATAGATCGCTCCTATCTCATTCTAATCAATGTTTTTTTCCTACATTTAATTTTAGAAAGAAAAAACAAAGAAATGATCACTGACTAATATTCGCTACATTTTCAATATAAACATTTTAAAACTTTCTTCTTCTATATCGATATAGTTTTATATTCCGTAGTCAAAATATAACAATTCAATTATAAATATATATATCAAAAAATTCTCATAGCACATTTTAATGGTAGTAGTGAGAAAATTTGTAATATATTCAATGACAATGACAGAAGAAAATTATTGAAAACTATTGCCATTTTTACGATTTTTCTTATAAAATTAAGTATATCTAATATAATTGATCAAACATTTTCGTAAAATCATTTTAAATACATAAAAAGCGCACTTTTGATATTTTATAGTAGAAATAATTCATATATTCTGTGGTTTTAAGTGGAGCTAGTGTCAGCGAACAACAATATAGTAGCGATATATTATATATCATGATAGAACCCCATTAAGTAGAGTTATATAATAAAATAACAGTTCATTGATGATACTGTGAAATATCAAAAGTTCAATTTTTTATGTAAAATAATTTTACGAAAATGTGTTTGTTTAATTATATTAGATACACCTAATTTTATAAATATCATCGAATGTCAACATATCCCGATTAGTAAATAGAAAAAATTATTTAAAGATATTTATAATAAGTTTTTCCACTTTATCTGCCAAAAATTTCATCAAAACTATTAAATTGCCATATTTTTATTGAATTTAAAATTGTTTTTAATATAGATGATCATTTGAACATTAGTATCATTACAAAAAATTTTTTTTCTTCTAATACTAACTTCATTTAGAAAAACTATATAATATTACTTTTATTACACTGAACGGTGGAAAAAATAACAACAAATGAAAATTTCGAAATTTAAATAGAATGACAATGCTACTATGTTGAGCACGCATGGTAGGAGAAATACAACGAAAAAAAAAAATATATATAGCAGTTGATAAAGATATACCAAAATATTTTTCTTTCTATTTATGCAGCAAATAAGAAACGCAATATAATAATTTTAAAATACCAAAGCGAAACAACAAAAACCTATCATATCATCATGTGAGTTTTACAGCAAAGCAAAAAAAATAAACGATTTAGGTACGTTAGAAGTAGAAGCACAATCACCAAAAAGAGTGAAAGAGAAACACACATACACACACGCGCGCGCACCGGGGTGTATGCATAATAACCGATTCCAACATACGTATACAATAAATTCACCAAAAACATGCACAGATAGAGAAATCATTCTCTGATAAAACAGCTATAAAAATTAACTAGCAAGAAAAGAAGAACGTTCAAAGAGAATCTGCCAGAGCATTGAAACATAGGTTTTCAAATCCAAACTCATTACATCACTTAAACACAATGAAATCGCTATGAAATTTATTTGAGATGTCAAACTTTATATTCTAAGTTTTTCCAAAATTCTCATATACTTTTCTATACTATTCTAAATTCGAGACCGACAAATAAAACCGCTATTATTCAGAGAAATATCTTTGTTTACGTGAAATTCTTGTACGACAAAAATTTTCTTTCAAATTATGTCAACCGCCGAAACAACGGAAAAAAAAATCTAATGCTACAATTTTCTAATACTATAGAAAAAACAACAACAATATTAAAAACTTTTGGTAAAAAATTACGAATGTAAACGAAGCTACAATTACATTGTAGATAGAAAAATACATCTTTTTTATAATTCACTGGAGTTACCGACACACACCGAGAGAGAGAGAGAGAAATCGAGTTTTTTTGTTCATAAAGGGGGCAGTTTCGTTGCTATGAACAATGAACGACTCTTATGTATTCGAAGAATAAAAAAATCTCGAAGTTTTGTGTATAAAATGTTTTTTTGTGCAATACAACAAATGATTTTTGACGTACGTACAAATAATATAGTAAACAGAATGAGACATTCATCAGACAAGTTAAAGCCAAATTTGTTTTGATGATGGTAAATGAACATTAATACCGACCTAAATAAGAAATAGTGATAATAATGGATACTTGGTAAAGAGAAGTTCAGAGTAGCAAAGCAAAAAAGAAATATTTTAGCAAAAAATCAAACTAAGTCTAAACTGATCAAATATAAGTAAAAAAAAGCATGAAAGCTTATAGATATACCTATATCTATTATTTGTATTCAAAAAGATCTGTTAACTCCTGTAAAGAAAGAAATATAAAAATCTATTATCAGCTTCTTCTGCTAAAAGCTAGATTTAAATTAGTGACCAGCAAACTGAACTATGTCAGCTAATAAAAGTTATTCACGAGTCAGACTGTTTTTATACGTTTGTATTGAACACAGTATTGCAGATCAAGAATGACATTGATGGTAGAGTAAAATTTTAGAATTTAGTAAACTAAACTTTTGATTAATCCAGTATGTAGATCACGTTCATACTACACGATGTACATAGGACGCATTTCCTATCAAATTCTATAAGAAAGAAAATCTCTGAATTTTAATTTAATTTCTCTCATTTAAAATAAATATTTCACAATTTCAAGGGCTTCTGGCGTAAAAAGATATTGAGCTTCGAGAAGACGGAACATTGTAGATATAGACAGTAGACAGAAGACTTCAAAATCTCCAGCTGCATCTACACTAAACTAAAATATTTTTCCAAATAAACTTCAATTTCTTACTTTAAATTGTGGTCCGTTCAAATCCTGCATAATGGGCTGTTGTACCTCCATTTCCACTGGAAATTTGCCGTAATCTTAACGATAGTGAATACAAAACAATGAAGAAAGTGCTAAAGAAAAATGACAAATAGGTGCTGGAAATGGTTAAGAATCAGCTCGTTTTATTGTTTTACCCCCGATCGGCTTTGTAAATATTAAAAAGTATTATTCTATTTTAACTACTTTTACATATTCAAGATTACTAAAATCCGAACGGTTTCTCAACTCGACACACGCAACATGGTAGGCAATTTGAAACTACTGTCAACTTCGAAACGCAATGTACTTTGTAGTTTTTCGAATAAAACTCGAGGTTTACACCAGCTTGTAGCGGAGACTATTTTTGTTTAATTTTTCATTCTTAGAAGGAAAATGACCTTTAAAATCTATACATAAGGTGTAAAAGTCATCTACTTTTGTGAAAACTTTTAGGGCTTTCCTTAGGAAAAACGAACTTTTAAGTTTAAAGGGAGTTTGAAGTAAAGTTTTTCTTTACTTTGTTACACTCCCCGTTACTCTGTACTTTCTCTCCTCCGTTACGGGCGGTTGGACGAAGTGCCCAGTATTCTTAGACGACGTACGACGAGAACGAGTTTTCTCGTCCTCTCTTTGTAAAAACCTATGCGTATATCTAGGAAGAAAGTGTTCACATTTTTGCCCAGTAGGGCAACTCTGACAAGCTCGACATAACTCGATCACGTAACGTACAATGTTCATACAAGTTTCAGCAGCAAGATTTTTTTTATGGTAACATCCCGACGTAAAAAACTAAATGTACTAGTTACAAACTGTCTACTATGTTGTATATATAGAATTATTCTATGCATCGATTTCTAGTCATATGCGCTCTCTCTTCATTCGCCATTTTCTAGCCGTCACTTGCACTTCTTTTTGTTAGTAATATAACTCAGCGTTATTCTCTACCCTCTCCTATTTTTTTTGTTTACGAAGCAGCAGACAATATATAACGACGTACCCCGACCATGTCACAAAAGTATTAAGATTATTATAATGATAATTCATTGCTTCAATGAACAGTGACAAGTTGAAAAGAACTACAGAATATGTATTTAAAGCTTGAACATACCTATTGGATTAAGAAACATCGAATCATCACTCGTTGTCAAAGCATCTGGTGTACGATTGATACTGTTACGCCCTAGAAATAAAAAAATAAACTATACAGCATTTTTAAAACTGAAACTAATAGCTATAAAGTTTAAGAGCTTTCATTCAACAGATCATTTTGGATTATTAGTACCGCCTACCTTCTCCGACTCCACTATCTTCACTATTTTGTCGATGATGGTGTAAAAGTTCTAGAAATGAATCAATGCCTGCCTGCTGATCAGACAACAAATTACCACTGCAACGTTCATTTAACATTTTACGAACATCAGTCTCCTAAAAAGAATAAAGTCAGACATAACAAGTTAGCAGTTGCACACTAACAGAAAATGCGTCAGACAAATACAAAAGCTTCAAATAACAAAAATAAAAATAACTAACTTAAAGATTGAAAATTTACACATTTACCACGAATATAAAGTCTAGATTCGCTTTTATCAATTATTATTTTCGAAAAAAATCACGAAACTCTTGAGCCCCAAAAAGCGCTGTTTGTGCCTCTCTATTAAACAGTCTAAGCTAACAAATATGATAATTGTCTTTCTAATAAAAAGCAACGAAATTGTACGCCAAAAAGTTTGCCCACTAATATTTTGCTTTACTATAACGAAATGTGAGAATAAGAAATAAAATGACAACTAGTTACCAAGAAAAGACAAACGAACAACATAGAAAGGCAAACAACAGTGATTCTACTTCCAATTACTTTACCATTATCATTTAATGACAAATTTTCTGTCTGAAAATAATTAGTAGAAATTCTGATAGAATATGAAACAATGCAATAACCTACCATTCTATCTAATTCTTCTCTGCGCTGTTGTACTGCTCTTTGTTCATTCATAATTACACATAGTTTCTGTTTCAATGTTTCATTCTGATGCAATGAGCCCAATGATGGCACAGGTGGTGATGTGCCATGGATCGGGACACCACTTGTTGACGATGATAAGGATGTCGAAGAATTTGATGGAACTAACCCACCACCGGACGGTGAACGATGAAGAATATAATGAGGTGTTGTTGATGCTATTGGAGAAATAGATGATTGAGAAGCAATACCATTAGAAGCACCGGTATCCAAACGTTTTGTTGACAGTGACCAATAATACTCTAAAGACAAAGTGGATTAGATTAAAATAAACGAAAGATTAGTCTAATCTCATACTTATTCGTGGATCATCCCATTGTGTTTGCTGTAGATTATGGTTTATAAAATAAGGATTTCCTTTTGAATCTTCCGATAGTTCATAACCATCTGGAAGAGGAAGGGTTTGAACATACGATGCGAATTGTTGATAATGCATTGGGCGAGGATCATTCCATGTTGTCAGTTGCGTTAAATGACTAAAAGAGAATGACAAAAATTGTAGTTTCTTTGCACACTTCTTAGCACACAGAACTGAAGAATCAATAAGAACTACGTACTCGATAAAATAAAGTCGTCCATCTAACGTCTTCTTCATTTCCCATCCCTCAGGCAATGGTAATAAAGATATTTGTGAGTTTGCTTGTGATTGTAATTGCGATGTGTCTCGTGTTGTTCCACCCTGGCCATCTAAAACAGCTGTATCCGATACTGTCCGTAGATGTCCTTGAATGTGATTATTATCGATAATTGTTCTCAAAAGAGTTGTAGAAGTCGATGGCATATTTGGTAAACTTAGCTGATTTTTAACATGTTGATGATGGTCAACAGTTGAACTGCTTTCCATTCCTGTAATTGAATTTGTTGATGATGAGGCAGACGTCGATTTTGGTGGTTGAAAAAACGACACGGGTAAATCTCGCTCACGAAACGGTTTTGATACATGACGAAAACGTTCTATATGGTGCGGATTAGTGGCAACACGAAATAAATTATCTAATTCAATTTGATTTTGATCTTCAACTTTGATATAAGATTTTGATTGTGACGATGAGGATGAGTAAGATGACGATTCACACATTGAATGAAATACAGAAAGAGTAGATGGGTTAGTTGAGAGATACAATGAGAAAGATACTTATAATATCTATAAAAATTGAAATTATTTATAAATCTATTTTCGTTCTTGATAGATAATCTGCGTAACGACTTTCAATAATAATTAAGCCTGTCCAATATTCGTTTCCTACGTTGTAGTAAGAGTTAAATATATTTCGTTGATATCATAAAAGCTCGTACAAAAAAACTGAAAACTCTTCTTACAAAAGTCTAACAGTTCTTTGTCAATTGTAGCTTCTATCCTATTAAACTATAGTTTCAATTTATGTTACAATCAATCTTGAAATATACAGTCCATTTCTTATATTACCGTTCGATTCATTCTAAAAACACTCACTTATGTACGAAATGGAAAAAGTTATTTTTCACACTAAATTGTCATACATTACACACATAAACAGAAAGAGGAAACGTTTGACAAACGTTCAAGAGATGAGAGAGAAAAGTAGATATATTTGTTTTCTTTTTCGTTTTCTATGCATAAGAAATATATTATTCAACTATCCCACAATCTGTTTATAGAAGTAACTATATAAACTAAAAAGGGTGATCTATCTTCTCTATATAATTTGATATACAAAAATAGAAAAATTTGAAAATTGAAGAAAACAGTCAAATGTGTGAAAATGACTGACTATTCAGACAGACAGATGTATTCTCGAATCTATAATTATCGACTGTAAAAGATGAATAATTACCAACCGTTCTTTTTTTTTAAAAAGCTCTTCTTAAGTAAAGATCAAACCAATTAGACACCTATTGAAAATCAATATACAAGTGTTTTACGTTCATAATCACTAATACCCACAAGTCTACAAAAGGAAAAGAGCTAATAAAACAATAAAAAATGCAAAGTGGATATTTGCATTCAACACAGAACGATTCTACAAGAAGAGAAACAAGTTTTTGTAGAAAGTGACGACCAGTTGCTGGAACTTGGCTAGTTAATAGAAACAACTAAATTTAAATTTCCAGCGTGAACGGCTTAAGGTCAAAGCGAAAGCCGAACAAAACTATTTAAAGCAAATACTTTACACGTGAAGAATAAAAAAAGTAGCACCTCTCACTTTTTCTCACTCTTCATTTACATTTTCAAAGAGTGTGTAGCAAAACAATGTAGTCAGTAGGTCACGAAAGAGAAGAGTGAATCGGATCGATGATTACTGTTTTTTGCTGAAAAGAAGGCATTGAATTTGCTGAAAAATTTATAAGCTTTTAGCATAAACCTAGAGCCAATGCTAATCAAAGCCTGTACAAATGAAAGATCTAAAAGATGTCTGTTTGTCCGAAAACAATAATAACAACTTTATTAACTTCGCTTTTTTTCTCTCTCGTATTCTTTCGTTCTGTTATAATCAGGTGGTGTTAATGACCTATAATTTGTTTCATTGTTGACCAATAAGAAGCTTGTGTTAGTGAAAATTTAACTAGTATGAGGTCCTTCCCTTCGACACATGGCTGCTTGACAACAACAAAAAAACAGTTAGAAGAAAGAAGAGCATGTTTAACTTAATTTTAATTTCTTTCATGAATTGACAGCAACGTGCTTTATCATTTTGAGAGAACGGGTTCGATCCCATAAAAATGGACTAGTATTAATGGAGTAGTCTTTATTTAAGGAGAAAGCTGACTGAGTTCCATCGTATTCGACGCTCTTATGCGTACTCGTCAAAATATGAGAAGATACTGTTAAGACATACATCTACTCCATTCTATGTCTTTCTTTATAAGTTTCATAGTTTATTTCTAGAGGATAATATCCCTCTTTATTTGAGATTAATTCTCGTAAATTAGCTAACAGAATTCTTTTAGCAGAAGAACAAGGTGAAACAGCTTATTGGTAACAAAATGCTGCAAAATTCCGTTAATTAGAAGTAGTAAGTAGCGAAACAAAATTTATCTTTGGCAAGTGTTGCATCCTCTTCAATCGTCGTAGTGGCATCTAAAAGTAAACATTGACGTTTGCATAAAGAATCTGTTCGACATCTAATTTTACACTCTTCAATCACAAAGAAAATTGAATGGTTTAATAGTGAACGTTATTCTCTTGGATTTTTTCACCAGTTGTTTTTTATGTACTTTAGTTTTTGTTCCATTATCAGAATATTTATTAGAATTTACTGCGCAATGGCGTCAATGTCAGACATTTGCGATCAAGTTTGAATATTTGACGTTAATGCTTTTGTTAACAAAACGTTTTCTGTTAACCAACGCATTTCTCATTTAAACGAAGGAAAAGGAACCTTTATAAATTATTTTCATATTTAATAACATTCATTTCACTAAGCAAATTATTGAAAATCTTTTGCTTTTGGATTATTATTCAATATCATAAGCCGTGTTTTAATTATTAATTGCAAGCTTACTTATTGTGCAGCTTTTAAATTTATGACAACTACTGTGTTTGATAATATAAACATTTTCGAAAATTTATGTCATTTTGTTTATGGTTGTATCTTCTTATTGTCAAAATCAACATCTAAAACAAATTATTGACAATATATGTCTATATTTACGCCCAACTCCTTGATTTATGAGAATTAACCTGATTTGTATCTGTAAATAATAATCAGTAGGGGTTAAAATTAATGATTTATTTCGAATTACTTCGTTATTTGGATGTTTAGACTGTGCGTGTGTTTGGTATTGTGGTTTAAATACTTCTATATAGTGCTTTAAAAACTATATAGAAGTATTTAATACGTTTAGAATTAAATGTTTGACACGTATCATTTTCATACATTAAACGATTAAGATTTAAGATTAACGCTTGAATTCGAAGCGTTAATATTCAATAATGGCATTAATATGAATTGTTAAATTTCAATAATCTAACATAGTCAACTTTATTGTGAAAATTATTATTAGAATAGGAAATATTTTGATTTGGAATTTTGGAACATTCTATTGTAATCTTTTTTATTGTCTCATATATTTACAGTGAAATGAGTATCAGCAAGACAGTAAATTTAAAATTTATCCTTGTGATATTGTAAGATAGTACTTTCTAATTGGAAAACAAATGACGATAGAATTAATAAAAACTAAATAGTTCTTGCTTTTCGTGTGTATGTATGTTGATAAAAACAAAAACAAAGTAATACTAAGTGTTTATACAGCAAGGTTGAACAGGAGTAAAGTAATCCTGATTAACTTGCCGTCTGGATGAACCGTGATTAATCTGATAATCGTAATTATGTGTGATGTATGATTAACTTATACGTGCATCTTGTTTTGTAGTATTCAAAAGACAGAGCATTATTCATCTAATATAGTCCATTATCCTTTAATTCGGAGTGTTCATCTTATTTCTTTTCTGAGGTCACATCTTTTAAAGTCAAAAGAATTCGATCAACTATTATTTTTTTCTCTAGCATTATTTGTTGCACGAAAAAAGAGTGCTTTTCAAGAAATATGATCGTATTTTTAAGTCATAATTATGGTGTTTATTCATACTCCCTTCTTTCACGTTTTGTGTCTTTGATATCATAATGCATGCAAAAACTTTTACATTATACGAATGAAGCCACATTTATTGGATAGTTCTTGTTTGTGGTTAGAAATATAATTTTTTAACAATTATCAAGCGTTGCTATTCTAATTGAAATTGCAAAAAGCTTGAAGAAGCAATACCAGTTTCTATGAGATAATTTCGAAGTTGCTTGGAGATAGTTTTGCGTTACTAGAGATATTGCACTGTAGAGCATTTCAGTAATGATTAGGAATAATCACGGGTAGTTAGCGGATTATTTTTAATCTAGATTAGTTATCGGAATGGGATAGTGTATTTTTTTAATATTTGGTACAGAAAAATAATAGGAGTTTTCAGGTTGGTAATTGAATTGTCAGCTAATTTTTCAGTTATAACGAAAGGATTGTTCTTAAATTACATGTACACTGTGACTGTGTTTTCGATGTGTATGTATATGTCGGAGTTCAGGGTGCATTTGAAACTCAACTAGATCAATAATGCATTTCAAAATGAACTAGTTGTGTTTCAAACTGAACTAGACGGTATTAAAATGCAATGTCGTTCAGTAAAGTTAACTTATATCCTTCTTGTAGCAGTCTCTTTTCTTTTAATACTATGAAGTTTAACAAAGCAAGAAAACAAAACCAGCAAATATATGTTTTTAGCAGTTTTCACATTTTGTTGCTTTTCCTCCATGCATTTTGTACAACATTTATGCGTATTTTTTTACATGAACACCGTTTTGTATTTATTACAGGCGCCAGCGCATTTACATGTATCTGCCGATTTAAAATTGGTATAAATTTGACAAGCTTGTATAAGGGTTATCAGTGGCAATAAATCAGTATTTAGGGCGCGTAGTGTAGCAAAACTGATCGTTGTAAGATCAAGAAAAGTAGTTGATTCAAAAGTTTCTATGATAATACCAGTTTGTGGTGCTATAGTATACAATATACAATGTTTTACCATTTTCAGCATTACATCGTACTACTTTACACGGCAATACTGCGGAAGAACTGAAGATTTTAATGCCGGCTAGTTCAGTTTGAAACACAACTAGTTCATTTTGAAATGCATTATTGATCTAGTTGAGTTTCAAATGCACCTAGTCTGCTTTGTCAGTTCAGATCTAAATGTTGATTAGACCTAGGTGAAATTGAAATTCTAAAATGTACTAGTTCATTTTGAAACTGCTTTTCAAACGAACTAGTTCACATTTAAATTTAAATTTCACCTAGTTTTTATTAAAATTTCGATTTGAACTAGTTCAGTTTTAAACTCAATTGGACTTTAATCTGAACTCCGACATATACTTTACTCTTAGTTTTAGATTTGTCTATTTTGTACGGACTTTTTGCGATGTCAACGAACGATCTTTTAAGTAGTACGTTGCAGTGGCCTGGTAAAGTCCCATTTGGCCTTAAAAGCAGTGGTAAGCTATTCTTGAAATAAAAAAATGAGTTGTTTTTTTATTACTATTTTATTGTCTGTATTTTAGTCTTACAAACAACCGAAAATAATATGATGAAACAGAAACTTGTATCTGAACATATGAGACATCATTATCGACGAGTATTAAATGCAAAATGTAAGTAAGAATTGAAGACATTAATAAAAATTCATATATAGTATGATGAATACCTTAAAAGGTTATTAAGGCCCACCGTCATGTGTCTGCCGAGAACTTGAGGAAATCTACTGCTTCCGCTGTGTTTCCGCAGACTTCTTGTCGTTCTAAAAGAAACAAACAGAAGTTATAAATGAGAACCCTAATGAAATTTTAGAGACAGTTGTAGAGACTGTTCAATGTGTGAATCAAGTAGACTATGAGAGAAAAAGTAGCCTTTATTCATCCTCTTAACTCCCATGTGTCGCTGCGTTAAATTGTTGCTCAAGGTCTGAGATAAAAAGTCAACATAAGAGATCAGTAAGACTAGTAATTCGTGTAGTTCAGTAGTGAATGTGTTCGTTTTCCAGACCAGAACAAGTTCAACTCTCGACAGAAACGAAAGATACATCAAACCTACTTCAAAAGAGTGGCAAAAATGCAGCTAAATCAGATACGATTTCAGTGTCTTCTATGTGATTTAGCAGGAGATGGTCAAATGTGAGTGCTCAAGTCGCATGATGTGTTTTCAAAATATAGTCGCAATTCAGCGGTTCAATGTAAGCTTTATTCTTCTACAGCACAAGCGACACTCATCCCATCATAGTATTCCACAATCTATTTTTTTACCAACCCTAAAAGTATATCAAACAATTCTGTTTATCAATATAAATTAATCAACTGATTAATAGAAAGTAAACTACGCTCATCAGCTCTAGTTTGTTTGTCTTCTCGTCTAGCAATCAGTCTTGACATGTGGGATATCAATACCTTTCTCTTGAATCATCCCACTATTGGTGCTTTGGTTGTAGATTTTCAAATGGTTTTATTAATCGTAGTGTCTGTAATATTTGTATTCCAAATGAGAGAATAATTTGTCTTTCTGGATGTACATTCGGACGTTTAACAGGTGACAGTGGAGATTGAATGATAGACTGTTGTTGCATAACTGAATTTTTTATGAATTTTATTGATGAAGTCTGGTTCATTTTAATTAATTCTTGTTTTAATTGTTGTGCCAAATGCAGCACATGCACATAGGTTGAACGATGATAATTGAGTTTAAGATTTTCTTCTGATAACTCAATAATATCATTAATAATCATTTGAACGAGAAATAGCTCTTCTCTAAAGAATTCACGTTGTTCATGTTCACTGATTTTTAATTCAATTTCTGTATGAACAACAGGTGGTTTTATTATACCTGAATCAAGTATAAGAGCAATAGTTAGCACAGCACGCGTTAGGTTTCTTTAAATGAAATATTGAACTTTAAAGATCAAAACTACAATGATGAAAAATCAGGACTGAGATAGAACCAGATCTCTTTTAGTTTTTCTTCGACTTTTTATACTGCTCTAACCTAAACCTAACGGTGATTGAATTTGTGACTGCGAATCTTTTGTTAACATCAAATAAAATTTAGCACCAGTTTCAATTACTTCTGCCCATGAGCTATCTAACATTGCATATAGACGTGGTTCAAATGAAGTGGTTGTTGATGACGTGTCGTGCCAGGGTGGTAAACACATTTGTTGCTTGTTACTCTCATTTACGACAGGATTTCCCAAGCACGATACACAAAGAATACAAAAACCAAGAAGAAATATTAATAGAAAATTGACAAATAAAAGCATCGTGCTACCGAACAACTAACAAAAAAATATATGTTTTTCAAAAGAATTCATCATTTTTTCTTTGCTATGTTATATTAAATGAATGTGATAGCAACATGAGTAAATTTTCTTTCTCTGAATACAAGTCGTGTTCATCTATTAAATTCATTAGATTTATTGACTGAAAGATGCCAAATAATGATGAAAGTCTGAAAAAATGTATTCATGTTTTCGTGGAGGTTGGATATAAAATAAGGTACTAAGGAAAAAATTAATTCTTTCTGTCATACCGTTCGTTTTGCTGCGAAAAGAGAGCGACGATATTTCATATATTTGGTTAAGAAAGATAGAAAATGCCCAATAAGAGACAACTTATTTGCTAGATGCCTAGTACTGAAATCTAATTTTTTGTTCGGAATTGAATTTGAAGTGAAACGAAAGGAGCATGATACAACGAATAGTTACGAATATGGGTATGATAAACGCAGTGAAGCCACTTGTCCGGCTGACACTAATGTGCGATTCGAGTGTAAGTTGAGTGGAATGAGCAGGATAGTCAAATGTCTCCCATAAGAAGGATAGTCCTATATTTCGGACCTATCGTTCTTCGCAAGAATTTTTCAAAAGATTACGTTTGAACTGATCAATTATTGGGTTTTTGTGTAGCTAATTTTTTTTTTTTTTTTGTTTGTTTGTTGAATTTTCATATTTTGCGATAGTACTAAGAGAAGAAGAGAGAGTACAAGTGCGTACTAAAAAATGATATTCTTGTTTCTTTAATTGATCAAATAACATTGAAACGGCAAAGAACATATTTTGCCTTGCTCCTTTTTTGTAGGAAAAAAGTCTCCTTTTTCTGAAACTTGCGGCCTTTTAGTTGGCATCCCTTGGATTGAGCATAAATGAAAAGAAGTTTTTAATCTTCTCAGACTAAGATCTGAAAGACTAAATTAATTGCCAGAAATATAGTGATCATCATTAGGAATTGTTGAACCAATATTCTAGTCAATCACGTTGACGATATCTGCTGGAACTAAGTAAGATAGAGCTAAACGAAAATAGATAAATAGAGCAGTAGAAAACTAATAGCACGTAAACAAACAAACGTATGGTTAACCATGATCCAGAAAACCGGAAAACTAAATGCCATCGCCAAAAGTCTAACAAAGAAAAGAACATATAGGCGACATGGAAGAGTCAAGGGTTATGGACTACTTGCTTTCGGTTAATAAAATATAAAACTCAACCTTTTCTCTTTTAGCTTCTGTGGATACAAAGCCACCAAAATCAATGGTACTTGGACAAAAATGTAAGATTTTCAAATTCGTGTGGCATGTGCTGAATCTGCTTTGAAATTCCAAGTTATAATAGTTCAGAGTATTTTGCCTTATTCCGATCAAAGAAGTCTGATTATATAAGATCGATTTTTGATCAGATTTGATCAATTTGAATTATTCTGAAATGATTTTGAAGCTAATATGCTGTAACTGTATTAGTGATAACAGATCTAGAAAGTATAAAGCACAAAAAAATTCCTTGATCAGAACCGTTTTTCCATACCAGAGTGGTTAATCATATCTTTCCTAAATATTAGATATCCTATATCTCTGTACTCTTGTATTTCAAATATTATCAAGCAAAGTCTCGCAGTAAGATGGAAGGAGACCTATATTTCGTTGAAACAAAACACCTTTTTACGAATACGTCTTTCCCAGAAACAAGTTACTTTTTAAAAAAGCTAGTTGGTAGACTTTGTTAAATTGATAATTTAAAGAACACTATTCAGGCTGCCAAACACGATGTTTTCAACTCTGTAAGTTACTCGGATGAATAACTATGGCTTTTACAAAACTTGACTGACATACGCAAACGTGGATTTTTGCGCGAATATTTATTGTAAGTGCTATGAGTCATCTTCTTGTTCTACTATCCATCCCAAAATACAAGACCCGTGGGCATTTTTTGAATAACTTTTGATAGGAATGAGATAGAGACCTGCGATTTTCGCTGTTCAATAGCCAAGACTTGAACAGAACTTTTCACAAGCGGAAGCAACTTTTGAAAAAATTTCAGAGATCGAGAGATCGAGATTCCAGAGGATCTTTGGAAAACCAGCTCCGTTCTCAGAAAACTAACATACAATGTTAGTAATTTTTTTGCATGCGTAGATAGTTCGGACGTTACTCTACAAAATTATGCAAGTCCCGGCTCTCTGGCNCGTCGTTCGGGCAGGGCTCGCTTTCCCCGAGCACGTGTCTATCTCCGAGCAGACATCTCTGGGAATCTCAAAATGCCATGGACTATAGGTAATCGACTACACTGAGCATAGTAGCAACATTTGTTTTTGTGTAGAAATGAATATAACTCTTCGCCAGAGGCATTGTTGTGAAAAACTGGTTTTTCGCCTGTTACTAGCAAAAATTAAAATCCTTATATCTCGATCAAATTTCATGCTGACTCAAGGAAATTTTCAGAAAACGCTCAGGACAGCTCATAAAACATAATCGAAGACGAAAAAGGTGAATGTGAGCTGGGCATTGGCTTAAGGTTTTCCAAAAACCTACTGAAAAACCTTAGAGCATCAGTGTTCTGCTGGATCACTTTTTCGGCGTGGTCAGCAACATATGGCACCTTTTAAGCGTTTTCTGAAAATTTCCTTGAGTCAGCATGAAATTTGATCGAGATATAAGGATTTTAATTTTTTGCTAGTAACAGGCGAAAAAACCAGTTTTTCAC